AGAATGAATAAAAAAGATGCTAAGTTACTACTGGCCTTTACTGCTTTTAAGTGGTACTGTAGGATAAGCACTGGACTGCTAACTTCAAGGTCCAAGGTTCAAATCCACCAGCCACTCCTTAGAAACCCTATGCAGGGTTGCTGTGAGTTAGAACCAACTTGACGGTGCTTAACAACAACAGACTTTCAAAATGTTTGCTTTTCAAAATAAAATGTATACACTAAGAACATATATCTATTCAACAGTTTCTACGTGTACACCAATGCCATTGGTTACATACATTCTTCATCTTTGTCAGTCTTCTCACTAATTCTAACCATATTGTTTCACCACCATTAACCTTTACTTTTTGTGGTCCTTTAAAGTTCTCACATGCGCTATTAGAGTTACTATTGTTAATTTAATATCATATAGATGATTCTTCAAAAGAACAAATGTTCAAGGCCAACATTCTTTTTAATTGAGTTTAATTGTTTACTTTAAAGATGACTTCATGAAATAGTTTTGGTTCAAGATTTAAAGATGATTTCACAACATTCAGTAAGTGGTTTCGATGAGAATTTTGACATCATGTTCCACATTTTTCCTCCTTTCAATCAGTACCCATCTATTGGATCCTTTCTGATTGCAGACCGCAGGTACTGGGCTGTTGAGGACCGGTGTCATGGACAAAAATCCAGCACGTGGCCACACTCAGACTTGCTGGCCAGAGACCCTGAGGGCTCAAGGAAGTAACCTCCAGATGTCCCGGGTTCATTGGCTTTTACGAACTCATTGTTGGGCTAACTCTGTATAATTCTCTTTAGTCTTATTAATTCATGCTATGCTTCGAACTCCTGTAATTGTAGCCTCTGAGAAAATGGTTTCTTATGTGCCCCTCTTAATGTCTCCACTGTGTTGGCAGTGCTTAAGGTTCTGGGAACAAATCTCTCTGAGGAACAAACTCTGGCCACTGGGCAAGCTCGTCCAAACTGTTCTTTATCAAATTATTCAGTTATGTTTGATATTAACTTAATACATGAGCCCTTGATACCCATGGACAAATATTAAAACAAAAATCTGCTCCTAAAGCCGAAGCTGTAAAAAGTTCCAAAAGCAAGTTTCCCTCAAGGAGTTCACCCAAAGTGGATTGGCGAATTCCGGGGTTTTGTCTAAAGAATAGTAGGTGTCTGCCTTCCCAGATAGACCCCAGCTGCAAACCATTCAGCTAGGCGTTGTGTTGTCTTGCTTCCTCCTGCAAGTCTCAGCCAGGCAGCTGACACAGCGGGACTCCTTTCAATCCTTTTCACCTGTTCCCATTTGAGATTAGATGCTATAGGTATGTTAATTAGCCTGGAGAAACCAAGTTGCTGCCCTGGGATTCCAACCTGAAAAGTACTGTATAAATTTGCTTGAATTTTGAAAATTAAGGATGTTAGATTATCAAAACAATTTGTGATGTATGTTTTAGAATTTGATTCCTGTAAATCATTGTGTCCTGTGTTGAACGATTAATCACATTTCACTTCTGTACACCGTCTTAATAAACCCCGCCTTCCTTTGTGTAAAGCTCCTCCCCGAAATAAAACAGAGGCACAGACTGAAGCCCACATGCGTTACAGCTGGCAAGGCATGTGTTGCGGCTTGCAGTACGGGCAGGCATTGCAGTTGGCAAGGTGTGCAAATGGCATGCATAGCCAAAATGTTTACAATGCAGGATCTGTCTGACGCCAGTTACGCATCCACTCTGGTTCCAGGGTGTATATGTGTCTCTCTCGTTATGTCTTTGTGTGTATTCTTTCTCTATCTCTGTCGCTGCTAGATCTCCCTACTTCGTGAACTGAACTCTCATGTCGAGGCCGGTTCTTGACACTTTCTCAAAACATTCAGTAATGGTAGTCAGGCTCAACTGTTTCTTCTGGTCTCATTGCAAAGGAGGTAGTAGTTCATGAAGGCAACTAGACCTGCTGTGCATTTTCTTCTGAGGATCCTTCTACTCTTCCAAGTGAACAGAGATCAATTGTGAAGCCACCTTCCATCCTGATTTTGTTATCTAGAATTTTAACTTTTCTTAAAAAACATTGTGGAAATTTACAAACATACAGTAAAATAGAAAGACAGGCAAATGAATTCTTACGTATCTATCACTCAACTGCAACATTGATCAGAATTTTCATAAGTGTGGAATATTTGAAGACTTTACACCTGTCACTTCATTCAACATTTCAAAAAAGTATAAAATATTTAACTTTTTGTTTAACTTGAAACATAACTCAATTTGCCAACAGAGTTTATAATTTTCAGAACGTGTCCATGGTTTTTCTATCCCATGTGTTCCCTTTGGTTGGTGTATGAGGGTACTTCAAAAAAAGTCTGTAGAAAAATGAAATGAAAAGATAATGGAATTTTTTCATGAAAGCTCTTTAAGTTCAAGCCTAAGTAAAAAAATGTCAAAATAGCAGTTTTGGCATCCTTGAGAGACTCAACTTGTGTTCCTTTTTAATGTTCCTTGAGCTTGGGGAACAAAAGAAAGTATGAGGAGACTAGATCTGGGCTGTAGAGTGGAGGGAGCTAGTTTCCCAATGAAATTCTCGTTGCTACCCAGGAAGAACAAGCAGGATGCATTGACAAACTAGGAAGAAAATTCCTTGGAGCAACTTTCCTGGCCTTTTGTTTCATCAGTGCAGTTTTAATTGTCTTAAAACTTCTTCCTAAACAATAGTTTAGCTTAACTAATAATGTCTGATTTGAGTAAGTTAATCTTTTAAGATCTGTTTGGAATTATATTGACAACAGCAACTCAAAAGATTAGATGGGAACCTTAGGAGGCATTGAGTTTACGTTAATAAAGGAAGAGCCACTTGAAAAAGAAGGGTGAGAATATATTCAGTGTCACTGAATTTTACATGTAGAAGTGATTGAATTGGCGTATGTTCTGCTTTATATATTCTCAACAACAACAAAACACAACTAAAAGAAAACCCTAAAGAGTGCAGTTCTTCGCTGACACACTTGGGATCTCCAAGGCAGAGTCTATTCAGAGTCTATTCTCGCCTGTCTCAAAAACCCCAGAAGTCCATTGGCTGTGTTCTCTAGACACCCTCCAACTCAGAGCAGGCTTCCTGATTGTGGCCACCAATTGATCTCCCATTGCCTTCTTTTAACATTTTATCTAGTTTCAGTTTTTGCTTTCATATTCTAAAATTTAGTTCCTTCAGTGCAGCACTCATCTAAAACTTCTTTCAAAGGTCATCTTTTACCTTGAAATTGCCAAGTCTGATCACCTCATGTCATTTGGCAGCTTCTTTCTGGAAATTCTTTGTTCCCTCATTTCTTGGCTCTTAGTTGTTCTTTCTCTGTTGTCTTCTGTTACTAAAATATTAGTGACCTTTGAGTTTTTCTTGGGCTTTTGCCCTCTTCTATTCTAAAATGATCATTGTTTCAATTAGACAAAATTTCAATACCTGTTTTTTGGGTTTTTTTTTGTTTGTTTGTTTTGGTTTTTTTACGCAATCTTCAAAGCCTTTATTAAACAAACACATAAAAATAAGAAAAAAACCTTATTTTTGAGCTGTCAATTGTATTGTGAAGGATTTTTCTTTTCTGTTTTACTGGCTTCAGTGGGAAACATTTCATTTAGAAAACATTTCTTCAATTAATTATCGTATGTGAATTTAGGGGCAGCTGTTAGAGTGTGCTGATGGGATTTCTCAGTGTTTTGGTATCTCAATCAATCATGAGTATGTGAGATCATGGACCCATTTTTCGCTTCTCTGATACTCAGTTTCTCCATCCATAATTGAGGACAATACATGTGTACCGTGCCTGAGGAGAGGGCTCAGGATATGGCAGCTGCTTTACTATTTTCTTACTTTACTTTCTCTCCCTTTTAATGCTTTCTTATCTTTTCTCTTTCTCTCCTCTTAAACATAAGAGTAGTTGGATACACAAATCCAACTAAACAGAAGCCTGCTTCTCCAACATTGGTTATTTATCACCCTATACAAAACCAGGCAGATATTGTCGGGGACCTGCCTCGACACGGATGTTTGGTTCACGAGGAGGGGATATCTGGCGGCAATAGGGATAGCAAAAGAGACACAGAGACACAACGAGAGAGACAAAGAGACACCCCGAAACCAGAGTGGATGCATCACCGGTGGGCAGACTTTGGACCACAGGCATCGTGGCCTCTGCAGGCAGCAACGCACTGCCCTGCAAACTGTACTGCATGCCCTCTAAGCTGTAATGCACACCTGGGTTGGTCTGTGCCTCCATTTTATTTAGGGGAGGAACTATACAGAAAGCTGGGCAGGACTAAGACAAGGTACAGCTAACATATGTAATTCTCCAGACATTCAGGCAGCTTTACATTGTACTTCGCAGGTTCGAATCTTGGTTTCTCAAGCTTAATTAACATACCTTTTAGCACCTAGCCTCAAATGGGGGAAGGAAAAGGAGGACTGAGAGGATTCCCATTGTGTCGGCTGCCCAGCCCAGGTTCTTCAGGAAAAGAGATGCCTGGGTGAATGGCCTGCACCTGGAAACACTTTAAGATGGCAGTCCTTTTGTTCTTAGAACAGAGACCGGGGAGCCACCCAATTTACTTTGAATGAATTCTCTGAGGGAAGACTTTGCCTGTTTAGAATTTTGCAGTCTTGGCTTTTAGGAAAATATCACATTTATCTGTGGATGTCAGGGCTTCATGTAAGCAATTAATAATAAACCTAACTGAACACTAAGATGAAAAACAATTTGCTATGACTGCCAGGTGGCTAGAGTCTGTTCCTCAGAGCCTGCGGCCTGTATGGTCTGCAACACTCGAGCCCACAGGGCCTCGAACTCCTGACCGGGTCTGCACGGTCTTCAACAAAATATAATAAATAATTTCGTAGTAGTATGAAAATGCAAGTTCATATTGCTCAAGTGAGGGTAGGAGACAAAAAGGAGAAGTCATTTCTCAGATATATTCTTCAGTGTTTTGATATAATACGGTTGATTTTTTACTTTTATAATTTCAGAAATTTTGAAGAATCTGAGGATGAGTTGGGAGATGTAGTGGAATCCCTAGAAAAACTCATTATTTCCAAAGAGGAAGATAAAAGAGAAAAGGCTTCAGGTTCCTTGGAGGATGCTGAAAAGTCAGGAGAAAAAGAAGGGATAAGTGCTCAAAAATATGAAGAGTAAAATGAATGAATGTTTGGAGAGTTTTTCTCCTCTAATGCGCTATCTGACTCCACCAAAATTCATGCTGTTCTATGAAATCCAAGGAATATCAACAACCTATCAAAATATACAACTTGATTTTTTTCTTAAATTGTAAGTTATTATCTATTAACTATATAGTATCTGTCACAAATGTGATGATTGTTCATCTTATTGCAAGGATTTGTCCAGTAAGCCTAAGGATTTGCTCATTTTTCTTTCACTTTAGACAACAGAACTCATTTTGAGCCTAGAAATTAATATCAATACTTGAAAATTTCTATTACACAATCTTTCAGATAATATATGTGGTAGACTAGCAATGGTTCCAAATGTTCATAACCTAATCACTGGAATTTGTTACATGGCAGAAGGGAACTAAGATTGCAGATGGGATTAAGATTGCTAATCAATTGAGCTTGAAAATAGGGAGTTAGTTCTGGATTATGGATTATTTGTATGTCCCAGTGTTACCAGAGTGTCCTTAAAAGTGCAAGAGGGTAAGAGAAGAGTAAGACCAGGGAGATGGCAGTGTGAGGACTTCAGCCTGAATTTTCTGGCTTTGAATATAGAAGAAGGGGCCATGACCAAAGAATACTGATGGCCTCAAGAAGCTGGAAAAGACAAGGAAACTGGTTCTCCCCAGAAATCTCTACAAAGGAACACAACCCTGCTCACAGTTTGATTTTAGCCTGGTGAGATCCATTTTGGACTTCTGAACCTTGGAACTGCAAGATAATAAATTTGTGCTGTGTTAAGTCACTGAATTTGAAGTGTTTTGTTTCTGCAGCAATAGAAAAACTAACACTATACAAAGCTCATTCATTTAAAGAATGAATCTACTATTTTATAAAACTGTGATTTTGAAATTTAAGTTATATTGAAAACACTATTCTTAAGTTGATGTTGACACAGAAGGCAACTGCACAAGGAAAGGAATAAAGCATGCCATGCTAATTATGTAATAAATAACAATTTTATTATGTGTTTTGTCAAATTATTTTCTAATAATTTAAAACGTATAGATTATAAATTTTTTGATAGAAGGAACTACTTCTGGTTTTTATATTTTATGATGGTTTTGTTTATATACAATTGTTTTTGTTAGGTGCCAATGAGTCGGTACCGACTCATAGCTACCTTATGCACAGCAGAACGAAACACAGCCTGATCCCGGGCCAACCTCACTACTGTTGCCATGCTTGAGTCCATCGATGCTGCCACTTGGCCAATCCATCTTGTTGGGGGTCTTCCTCTTTTTCTCTGACTCTCCACCTTACCAAACATGATATCCTTCTCCAGTGACTGGTCCCTCCTGACAATATGTCCAAAGTATGAGAGATGAAGTTTGGCCATCTCGGGCTCCAAGAAGCACTCTAGCTGCAATTCTTCCAAAACGGATCTATTGGTCCTTTTGGCAGTCCATGGCACTTTCAATATTCTCCTCCAACACAATAACTCAAAAGCATCAATTCTTCTAACAGTCTTCCTTATTCACTGTCCAGCTTTCCCATGCATATGAGGTTATTGAAAACACCATGGCTTGGGTCAGGCGCACCTTAGTCCTCAAGCTGACATCTTTGCTCTTCAACACTTTAAAGAGTTGTGGTACCTTGAATTTACTTGACATGTTTTTTCTATCCATTGTCTTCTTAATTCCCACCAATTGACTGGGTAAGACCGTGCAAATAAGGTGTATAGGACTGAAAGGCTGGAACTGGTTAGTCATGCCTTCCTGTTAGGTTTAAAAGGAGCCATCTCAGAAGCAGGAATGGACAATCCCAGGATCATCAAGAAGGAAGAGCATGAGTGGACTGTGAGAGGCCCACCTAGAAAAGCAGTGACAGCAGAGGCAATGGTAGAGGTGGTGGCATGGAGAGACAGAGCAGCTGTGGGCTCTAGGCCCATGGACTGAGTAGAGCTGAGTGCCTACAAGCAGGAGACTGGCTTGTAGAGTGTGCTCTTTGGGCATTCAGACTAGCTAAAAGAGCTTTGTAACATTTACCCGAGTAGGACAGAAACAAAGGGACCTCATATGGCAGACAAGAAGCATTCCTGACTGGAGAACTGTTATGTCCTAAGTTTTTTCTGATCCTGAATTATACCGTTCACTTCTCTAATAAACCTAATAATCGTGACTATTGTTATGAGTTCTGTGTGGTCATTGCAATAGATTCTCGAACTCAGATGTAAAGCAGAGTGCTGTGGGAGGAATGATTGGTGTCAAAATCGGGTAAAGAAGGTTTTAGGGTGGAAGTACGTCTGACCTCTACCTCATAGGAATCAGCCATGGGCTGATTTTGAGTTAGATTCTCTTTCCCCATTGGGAAGCCAGAGGAAGTCAGACATGACTCTTACGTGATTTTTGCAACAGTGCTAGAAATGTTTTCTAAATGAATAAATTAGTTCTAATACAGTTTTCTCACTATGATGGGAACCAGGCAGGAAACTAGATTTAAACTTTTTTCAATCAATTATCATAACAATCCCAATGTTGAGCTTATGCTTGGAATTGATGTATGTTGACTAGGGGATGAGTCTGCTGTTATAAAGGACAAAGTGGCTGTATTTCTGCACGGTGGAATTCTGCCCATAATAGAACTAACCCTAAAATGGCACACTGGTGTGTTGCTGAATTAAGAACACAAAGATGAGAGCCTAGTTAGATTATTTCAAAGGTCTGCCTAGCATCTGCACTTCATTAAGTGTGGGTGATTTACATAATTGTCAGATGTGTTCAGTCTTTTGTGCTTTTTGCTCCTTCAACTTGGTTTTTTCAACTGTTTTAGGAAAAATGTTCAGTATGGCCACATCATGAAGCTGTGAATGTTTAAAAATTCTCACCTTTGTGTTCAGGTCTTATCTCCCACTATTCCCTTTCATATGTATCCTACTGTTTTAGGTTGCATTCTCAGAAGAGCTAAAAGCTAAACCAGTAAATTTATATATATATGTGTGTGTGTGTGTATATATATATAGAAAGAGAGAGAGAGAGAGAGATTTATTTCAAGGAAATGGCTCACACCATTGAGGAGGCTGACAAGTCCCAAGTCTGTGGGTCAGGCTTATCCTACAGTGGCACAGATTTGCATATTTTATGCACATTTGTCCACATTTGAAATGACTAAACCAAATCACTCACAAATTTTTCCTCACAGTTACCTTCCCTTGCTGTGCATGCAGCTTTTAAATCATTGAGAAGGCTAAGCTTTTCATATACTATGTAACATAAAAATAGCACATGCTCCTGTTCCTACTTACAGAGTCTTAAAGACCCAGTTAGGATCAGATCTTGTTTGTACCCCAGGAACTGCCTGTAAGGAAAGCCCCCTGACATCAGATCGTTAAATGGAGGATAATTATATTAATACTGAGGATCCTGGCCTAGTCAAACTGACACCTAATATTCACCATCACAGTCCACTTCTTGTCAACGTGGCAGCTGTACACATTGTGTTAATGCTATCAAGTTGCTTCCAACTCATAGACACCTGAGGACTGGCTGGTGGGTTTGAACAGCTGACCTTGCAGTTAGCAGTTCAGTGCTTATCCTACAGAACCCTACCAGGACCCCACACATCTTCTTAGACAATACATAATCTCTAGAGACAAAGTCATACTAGAGCCTAACATGATGTAACTAACATGCATACAACTAAAAATGCACTAGCCCTGTTCACTTTTGATATAGCTAAAGCCACTGTCATCGAGTCAATTCTGATTCCTAGTGACCCTTTAGGACAGAGTAGAACCCCTTAGTGTTTCTGAGACTGCAAATTTTCATGGAAGGAGACTGCCTCAGCTTCTGCGGGAGTGGCTGGTGGGCGCAAAGCACTAACATTTGGATAGCAACCCATCACTTATGCTATTGCATGACCAGACTCCTTAAGATCCCTTTTCCGTGGCTGGGCACTAAGCTCAGAGGGACAGGTGGTGTGAGGAGCACCTAGTGGGTAAGTCTCCTGAGTCCACCTGGAGAGGGCTGTGTCTTCTCTAGGAACACAGGTGGAGGAGGTACCTGGGAGGTGACAGCGCTCTAGGGCGAGCTCAACACACTGCAGAAGGCATGGAGTGAGGACCACCCACGATCCGGGAAGCTATACACACTGGAACACAGGCTGATCAGAAGCCTGGCAGGAAACAACAGGAGGGTGCTGGCAGGGGAGGGACGTGCTCTAGAAGTACAGCGGGGCATGGGGGTAAGGGCCTTGGACCAACCACCACTGTGGGGCCACAAGCCCTCTCACATTGACAGCCATACCCTGTTTGAGACTGAGGCATGAGGGATAAAGGAGAGAAGAAAACAAAAATATCTGCTGTCTCTCATATATGTCTGTACATATGAAATACTCCTAACAATGATAGTGCTGTTACAACTGGCCGCAAGGTCATAACTAATATTTAGAAATACATTTCTTCCACCACCCATTCTGTATTCCCTTTGCCCTCAGCAAGCACTTCAACTGGTCTTGTTTCTTTACTTGGTAAGGTGACCTAACTTTCATTCCTGAAGGATCTGGACCACTAGAATTCACTTTGGAATTGGATTCCTGTAGCTTTCCATTGTCTGTTAAAAACAGGGGCTGGTTGTACTAAGAGATGCCCTAAGGGGTCTCTGGCATTCCAGACATACTCTTCTTTATCTAGCACACAAATGTCTTACCAATAAGCTTAGAGTCATTCAAACAGTTTCCTTACCAGGTGGTCTAATGGAATGTAGAAGTCATCAAACAACTTCACTCATTTCACCTGCAGATGGAATTTTGGTAAACGTAATTCAAACATGGTTGCAGCAGTAAGTACATCAATAGGGAACTGCCAGAAATTCAAGCAGGATTCCACAGAGGATGTAGATGAGGGATATCATTACTGATGCCATATGAATATTGACTGAAAGCAGAAAATACTAGAAAGATGTTGAACTGTATTTTATTAACTATGCAAAGACACTCTACTAAGTGGATAACAAATTATGTATAACAATGGGAAGAATGGGAATTCCAGAACACTTATGTGCTCATGTGACTCCTGAGTTGGGATAGACTTGACAGAAAGACAAATAACCCAGTTATAAAACAGGTAAATAATGTGAATAGACATTCCACCAAAGAAGACATTCTTATGTCCACCAAATACATGAAAAGTTGCTCAATATCATTAGCCAAAAAGCTCAACATAAGCACTGCTGCCAAGCAGATTCCAACTCATAGAAACACTTTTCGACAAAGTAGCAATACCCTTAGAGATTTTCAGGGATGTAAGTCTTTACAAAAGCAGATTGCCACATCGTTCTCCTGCAGAATGGCTGGTGGGCTTGAACCACCAACTTTTTAGTTAGCAATTGAGCATTTTAACCACCGTGCCACCAAGACTCCTTCACTAGCCACCAAACCAATACCCCACTGCCACTGCGTAGATTCCAACTTCTAAAGGCCATATATAAGGTTTCTGAGATTGTAAATCTTTATGTGAGCAGCCTCATCTTTCTCCTGTGAGGTGACTGGTGGGTTTGAACCCCACTTTGCAGTTAGAAACCCAATGCTCATCCCACAGTGCCATCAGGGCTCCTTCATTAGCCAGCAGAGAGATGCAAATCAAAACTACAATGAAGTATTATTTCACTCCTACTAGGATGTGCTGTAGGATCAGCACTGGACTGCAAACAACAAGGTAAACAGTTCAAACCCACCACTGCTCCTTGGAAATGCTATACAGGGTTGCTTGGAGTCAGAACCAACTTGATGGCACTTAACAACAACAACAGGACGCCTAAGGGGAGCACAGGGGCTCCATATGATAAGCACTGGACTGTGAACCACAAGGTCAGCAGTTTGAGCTCATGGGAGAAAGATGAGACTTTCTGCTCCCACAAAGACTGAAATCCTATACAGGGTCACTATGAATCAGAACTGACTCAATGACAGGATGTGTAAGGAGTCCTGGTGTGACACTGTAGGTTTAGCACTTGATTACTGACCACAAGTCTGTCGTTTAAACCCATTAGATGCTCTTCAGAAATGCTATACAGAGTTTGCTATGAGTTGGAATCAACATGATGACACTGAACACCAACAAAAACAAGATGCCTAAGATTTGACAATAATTATAAATGTTGTGAGGATGTGGGAAAATTGGAAGCCATTGCTGGTGGGAATGCAAAATGGTACAGCAGCTGTGGAAAACAGTATGGTGGGTCCTCAAAACTTTAAAAATAGAACTACCGTGGTGGTAGTTATGTGCCATGGAGTCAGTTCTGAATCATAGTAATCCTGTATAAGGTTCCCAAGGCTGTATGTAAATCTTTACAGATGAAAAGCCTTATCTTTCTCCCACAGAACAGCTGGTAGATTCAAATGGCTGACCTTGTGGTTAGCAAATCCAACTCATAACCCACTACAATACCAGAGCTCCTTAGAACTACTGTTGTTTTTGTTGTTAAGTACCATGGAGTCAGTTCCAACTCATAGTGACCCTGCACAGGGTTTCCGAGGCTGTAAATCTTTATAGGAGCAGAAAGCCTCATCTTTCTCCCGTGGAACAGCTGGTGGTTTTGAACTGCTGACCTTGTCTACTCTTAGTATACACTCAACAGATCTGAAAGCAGAATCAAGCAGAGACTCGTACACCAATGTTCATTGCAGGACTATTCACAATAGGCAAAAAGTGGAAGCTAAATACCTATCAATGGATAAATGAATAAACAAAACATAATAAATACATATAATGGAATCCTATTCAGCCAGTAGAAAAAACGAAGTCCTCATACATGCTACAGTATGGATGCAGCCTGGAGCTAATCACGAAGGGGAAAATATTCTATGCCTTCACTTATATAAAAATACAAGAAAAGACGAATGTATAGTGGTTAATAGTCATTACCAGGGGTAGTAGGAATGAGAAAGGGTCGGGGTGGGGTGGGGAAGAAGGGCCAACAGTGATGGAACAAAATCACACTGATTAAGGGTTGTTGTTGTTAAATGCCGCCGAGTCCGTTCCGACTTATAACGACCCTATGTAGGGTCTCTGAGGAGCGGCTGGTGAGTTTGAACCACCAACCTTGTGGTTTCAACATTGCGCTCCAGTGCTTTATCTCACAGTGCCACACCAGGTAGGACTGCATATTCAATTATTATAATTGCTGTCAATAAGTTATGCATATTCAATTATTATAATTGCTGTCAATAAGTTATACACCTGTACAGAGTTGAATGGACAAAAAAGTTGTGTGATAGATATATTTACAAGAATGATAAAGAAAAGGAATAGCTTCTGAGGTTGTTTATGCATACCAAATACCTCATGGGATTTGGTTCATTGGTTTGGAGGTTTAGGATCATGGTCTCATGGGGACATCCCAGTTAACTGGCCTAATAATGTGTTTAGTTCTACTTCCTAGTTCTTTGCATAGTGCCCGGGGTCTTAAAAGCTTGCAAGTGGTCATCCAAGTCACAATGTTGTTGTTAAGTGCCGTCGAGTCGGTTCTGACCCATAGCGACCCTGTATATAGGGTTTTCAAGGAGCAGCTGGTGAGCTTGAACTGTTGACCTTGTAGTTCAAACGCCTTTGCCACCTGGTGCATTAATGCATAGCGCCACACCAGGCCTCTATTGTGACACTAGTCACAACACTAGGTCTCTATGCATCTAGAGCAACTAAGGAAGAAAGTTGGGAATAGGGGAAAATAGCTAATTTCCTCTATGAACAACTGCTCCTTCCCCATGAGACTAGAAGAACTGGATGGTACCTGGATACCATTCCTGGACATTTTGATCAAAGATTCCATGTAAGAATCCTGATCAAAAGGGGTAAAATACAGACTAGAATCT